ACCACCAACCGAGGTGGCGGGAAATTCCCCAAGAGCCGTCAGGAATCCATCCGGATCCATAAGCCTCCTGGGGCGGACCAACTTAATGGGTCCTCCACCTCTGCGGAGGTTAGGGGGTGCAGTGAGTCTAAAGCTGACCAGGTGGTGGTCGGTCCATGGCAACGGAGAGATGGATAACTCCTCAACACCGCCACCTTCCTCCCATCCCTGGCAGAAAACCAAGTCCAATGTGTGTCCAGCCTGGGGCCGACTTCCCTGAGGGAGAAATGGCGTACAAGCCGGAGTGCCCGGGCGTCCGAAGGGCGGCGAGAGATGGTAGGCACCAACCCCGTTCGGAGCTCTGACGCTGCCGAGCAACCAAACGGCGCCACCGCCGATGCCGTATGTGGCCGAGCAGGGAATGATGGAAGGCCGCTGAAAGTTGAGCGGCAACACCGCCAAATAGCCAGGAGCTCCGCTGGGCAAGAAAGCGCAGGAGGGCACAGGGCTGGTGAGTGTCCCCGCTTCAGGCACGCAGGGGCCAGCCCAGGCCGCAGGGAGCCACCGCGGCAGCCGCGCCGCGCCCCAAAATGGTGGCCGCGTACTCAGGCCTAGCTGGTAATGGGCCTCGCTCCACTCCTCTTTCGAGCCGAGGACCGGCCCACGCGGCCGTAGCAGCCGGGGCAGCCGAGGTGTCTGCGGCTGCAGCTGGCAAAAAAGCCGGCGTGGCTGGAAGAGCCGGCGCGGCTGCAGCTGGAGGAAGCCGGCGCGGCTGGAAGAAGCCGGCGCGACTGAGGCAGCCGGGTGTCTGCGGCTTCAGCTGGGAGACACTGGAAGACGCCGACACGATAGAGAGTCGGCCGACCCGCTGAGCAGCTGAGCAGCCAAACAGGACCTCCACTTCTCCGTCAGGTCAGGTGATAATAGTTGTTGAGAAACCGGAGACAGATCCAAAGAGCAGCTTCACAGATAGGTATAAAGAGAGCGACTTCAGGTCTAAAGGAGTAGCTCCAGCACTGAGTTCTCAAGAAGCAGCTACACAAATAGATGTCAAAGGAGCAACTTCGTAGGAGTAGCTCCAAGCACTGAGTTCTCCAGAAGCAGCTACACCAATAGATATCGAAGGAGCAACTTCGCAGGAGTAGCTCCAAGCACTGAGTTCTCAAGTTCTCAAGAAGCAGGCAGGATGATAGTAAGGTGCAGCTGGGAGGCAGAGGTTTTAAAGCCTCCTTTCCTGGCTTGCTTATCTCACCAGTGTGGAGGCGAGGCAGCCAGGACGCCGACCCTCTCCTGTTCTTGCAGGCCGAATGATAGACTTTGAATATAACAGTAGTAAAGTGTGTGGTCAAAATAGTAATTTCTTTATGCAGTTTTTCACTTTCACTAGGATTCAGTGCCCCCAACTCAGAGAATGTGAAGGTCTGACTGTATTGGGAAACTTCAGTTAAAACTTTAATTACTGTCATGAATTTAAAAGGAAGTGTTACATAGTTGGCGTAACAGAGCCTCAGAGAGAAATAAGGGTGCTTCAGTGAGGCAATGAAGCAGCAAAGAAAATTCCAGTGCTCAGAGCAAGGGAGGACCAGGGCAGCCTTGGCCAGAACCTTTGCCAAGCAGACATACAAGAAAGCCTATATTTTTGGCAACACTGTATAATAATAATAATAATAATAATAATAATAATAATAATAATAATAATAATAGGTAGGATCATAAACCTGCAGAGGTAGTGGAAAATGAGCATGCAAAAATACTGTGGGACTTTTGAATCCAGACTGACAAAGTTTTGGAACACAATACACCAGACATGACAATTGTGGAAAAGAAAAAAGTTTGGATTATTGATGTCACCATACCAGGTGACAGCCAAATTGACAAAAAACAACAGGAAAAACTCAGCCGCTATCAAGATCTCAAAATCGAACTGCAAAGGCTCTGGCACAAACCAGTACAAGTGGTCCCACACTGGGTGCTGTGCCAAAAGATCTCAGCTGGCATTTGGAAACAATAAACATCAACAAAATCATGATCTGTCAACTGCAAAAGGCGACCTTACTTGGATCTGCACACATCATTCAAAAATACATCACACAGTCCTAGACGCTTGGGAAGTGTTCGACTTGCGAGTTTGTGATACGAAATCCAGCATATAGATTTCGTTTGCTGTGACATACTGTGTTTTTGTGTCACTAAAATAATAATAATAATAATAATAATAATAATAATCTTCATTTATAACTCAGCTGATCTCCCTGAGGGGACTCAAGGTTGTTTCCAATGGAAATGACATAATGGCAAACATTCAATGCCCAAAACAGCAAGTAACAAGTCAAACAGTGGGTAAACAAACTTAAATCAAGATTATAAAACAGCAAACTTAAATAAACATAATACTGCATGTACATGTACAACATAATAAACTCAAACTCTTAAAAAGTAGACTAAAACATTTAAACTAGGATAGTATGTAGAATCTAACAGGCGAAGATAGATATCAGCAACTAGGCAAGGAAATAAACAATAATGTCCTAATCCTCCACCTCTCTGTAAACTAATGTACATAAGGTGGGTTTTAAAAAGCTTTTTGAAGGAGAGGAGGGAGGGTGCCATTTTTAGTTCTTTAGGGAAAAGAAAGAAAAGAAAAAACAAACTATGAATTGATGGTGGATTGCAAATTAGGTATAGGAGTGAATGGAGAAAAGACATGGCAAAGAGAAAACCACAGATTTGTGCCTTGATTTGTGACCATCGCAGAGATTCCCAAGCTCTAGTTCCTGGGAAGTTTTGGACTTCAACATCCAGAAGACTCATCTGCCTTGGCATATGACCAGTGATTCTGGAAGCCTAAGTCTAAAAACCTGGAAGACCAAAGTTTGAGAAACTCTGATCTAGAGCAGGGCTTCTTAAACTTTTTCCACCCATGATCCTTTTCTATCTGGGACATTTTCACATAATCCCAAGTATGATATAAAATAAAACATTTGCTGATACAGTAGAGTCTCGCTTATCCAACCTTCACTCATCCAACATTCTGTATTCTCCAACACAGTCTGCCTCCTGCCCAGATCCACTGCTGTTTCAATACATTGTTATGTTTTGGTGCTAAATTCGTAAATACAGCAATTACTATATAACGTTACCATGTATTAAACTCCTTTTTCCATTGATTTCTTGTAAAACATGATATTTTGGTGCTTAATTTGTAAAATCATAACATAATTTGACATTTAATAGGCTTTTCCTTAATCACTCCTTATTATCTAACATTTTCGCTTATCCAACATTCTGCCGGCCCGTTTATGTTGGATAAGCAAGACTCTACTGTAATACATTTGCAAGTTTTGCTAAACAGACTGATTTTCCATTTTTTTAAAGTAACACTGAAGCAATGTATTGTCGAAGGCTTTCATGGCCGGAATCACTGGGTTGTTGTAGGTTTTCCGGGCTATATGGCCATGTTCTGGAGGCAATTTTTCTCCTGACGTTTCGCCTGCATCTATGGCAAGCATCCTCAGAGGTAGTGAGGCACCTCACTACTTCTGAGGATGCCTGCCATAGATGCAGGCGAAACGTCAGGAGAAAAATTGCCTCCAGAACATGGCCATATAGCCCGGAAAAACCTACAACAACCCAGTAATACTGAAGCATCTTCTGCAGAGTCAATTGCAAACACTGCATGTTGTTGCCAAGAGATTTTTGTAAATGGGTGGCCTTCAGAAACCTTCTACTGTTACCATATTTTTCATGACCCCCAACACTGAGCTAAGGCATTCCCATTTGGGATCTGGGCACACAGTTTAAGAATCATTGATCTAGAGGGAAGATAGTCATAATCAATGGGAGGAGAGTTCGTTTGGTGAGTCATTTGTCGTTGGACATTTTGAGCTTGAAATGGCAGTGAACCCAAGAGGGCAGGCTGGTAACTACAGGTGGAGTTTGGGATGGAGTTGAGAGGTTCATCATATCTTTGAGGTATCCATCCAGTAACCCCAAATCTCTGTCTCTATCTCTCTCTCTTTCTCCAGGAGCACTTCAGGGACGTCATGTTCTCCTTCTGTACTCTCCAGACCATGTAGCCTTTGAGCGTTTGGTGGGCACCTTGGCAGGAGCCTTGACCCAACTACAGGTCTCAGTTTCCCTGGAGTTGTGGAGCCGAGGGGAGCTGGCCTCCCTGGGGCCTATGCAGTGGTTCCATGCACAGCGACACCGCATCATGCAAGCTGGGGGCAACGTTGTGTTGCTCTTTTCCCCTGGTGCTGTAGCTGGCTGTGCAGAATGGCTGGGCTGGAAACAGGCAGATGTCAAACCTGACAATACTTTCTTGGCCTCCCTTAATTGTATCCTGCCAGACTTTCAAAATGGAAAGACCAAGGGCAGATATATAGTTGCCTGCTTTGAGAAACTGCTTGCAGTCAATGATATCCCTGGACTCTTCCGTTCGGTGCCCGCCTATCCTCTACCATCACAGCTTTTCGCTTTTCTATTAGCTCTTGCTGGACCTGGCATAGACTATGAGCAGAGGAGCAGCCTGAAAAGACATGCAGTGTGGATCAGCAAGAGCCTGGAGCGTGCGGTGCAGGAGTGTCAGCAAAAGGAGGCAAGCTGGGAGTACTCACCTTTGCTGCCTCTCCAGTCTGCGGATCAACAGATAAAAGGGAATTGCCATCCTTCTGTAGCTTTTTGAGAGGATGGCTCTCAGAAGGAGGATGAGATTTCCCCCTGTTGTTTACAGGACCAAGTGCATGGACTCTGTGCCAGTATTTTTAGAGCAAGCAGTGACAACTCAGCATTGGGCATGACAGTTCCACTTATTTATGTATTTATTTTTGTTATTTTATTTACAGCATTTATGTTCTGTCCTCACTCTGAGGGAGACTCAGGGCGGATCATTGGACATATACATCACAAACATTCAATGCCGTTAAACAGGACAGAAACAGATAGGGGTATATGTTGGCATTTTCCCCAACTTTGGCATTCTGGAGGTTGTGCTTGATTCCGGCCACAGGGAATGCTGTCACTCCATCCTCTGTGATGAAGAGCCCGTGATCACAGACTTCCTCCTTCCTTTGATCGCTGGCATTTTCTGGTATTTCCTTTTTATGGTGCCATAAAATACCTCCCCGCTTAAGCGGTGCCTAATTTCTCTCCTCACAGCTCACAGCTGTTTTCGAACTGCTTAGGTGGACAGTGAGCTGGGCTGAAGGTCGGATGCTCACCTCAACCCAGGCTTCAAACTGCCAACCTTTCAATTGGTGTGATCTATTGCTGCTAGTGATTAACCAGCTGTGCTAAAGCCCAGCCCTCATTTGGGCATTGCAATGAGACTGCATGGCTCCACTGCACATGAGAAGACATCTGAGCACAATATGTAGCTGACAACTCTGGAAGGATTCTGCTTTCTTGCTACTGAATGGCAATATTTATTGTGCTTAGAGAAATTGAGTGATTCAGCAGACACTGGACAACTTAGTATCAGAGCGGGACACACAGCACAAGCTACTAGTAGCCTCATGTTTGCTTGGGAACAACAAAACTGTAGCAGGAAAAGAAATGTTTCCACATTAATATTACAGGATGGGGGAACAGTGAAAGATAATAAAAAGTAACCTTTTAGGGAAACAGCTACCAAAAGGGGTGTAATTCCTCCCTAGTTTATCAATGCATGTTATTGTTGATTTTTTAAAAAATTGGGTGAAGATGTGGAATGATAACTGATTAAGACATGACTTTCAGCTGTTGATTTTTATCATATCAGTGTTATTATATATATATTTTAAGCAATTGTGTCTTTCCTTTTGGTGTGGAATCCTTTGAACTTGGTGCCTTTACATTGTTTGGGACTGTTACTTTTAGGCTGGATCTACACTGCCTTATATCTCAAGATCCCAGATTATCTGCTTATCCCAGATTATTTGGCACTGGAGAGTCATATAATCCAGTTCAAAGCAGATAATATGGGATCAGATCCTGGGATATAGGGCAATGTAGATCCAACCCTAGAACACCCGTTTGCCTTGTTGCTGATGGGAAATGTAGTCTAAATCACTTTGAAGACATGATATTAGGGAGGGCTGTCATAAAGTCCTTTGCCTCAGTGAGCTGACCATGAACTGCAGAAAGACCACCACCCACCCAATTCTTTCCCGCATGATATCTCTGCTCTATACCTTCCTACTGCTGATTTTGACTGATCGCATAGTGAACACATTCTTCCTAAAGAAATATAACAGAAATATCATGCAAAAAATATTAATCTATGGGTTGCTGTGGGTTTTCCCTGCAGCTCCATCAGCTGTCATTCCAGGTAGAAAATCCCACAATATCTGCCTTGAACTGAGTTATCTTTGTTGTTGTTGTTGTTGTTGTTATCTGATATACCTATTGTGATTGGGGATACCAAATCACCTTGTCTGTCTCCTGAGGAATCTGTATAATGACCAAGTAGCAACAGTAAGAATGGACCATGAAACAACAGACTGGTTCAAGATTGGGAAAGCCCGGGTTGCAGGTTTGTATACTCACCCAACCTATTCAACTTGTATGCAGAACACATCATGCGATGTGCGGGGCTTGACGAATGCAAGGCTGGGGTGAAAATTGCTGGAAGAAACATTAACAACCTTAGATATGCAGATGACACCACTTTGATGGCTGAAAGCAAGTTAAGGAGCCTTCTAACCAAGGTGAAAGAAGAAAGTGTAAAAGCTGGGTTGCAGCTAAACATCAAAAAACCAAGATTCTGGCTACCGGACTGATTGATAACTGGGAAATAGAGGGAGAAAATGTGGAGGCCGTGACAGACTTTGTATTTCTAGGTGCAAAGATTACTGCAGACGCAGACTGCAGCCAGGAAATCAGGAGATGCTTACTTCTTGGGATGAAAGCAATGACCAATCTTGATAAAATAGTGAAGAGTAGAGACATCACACTGGTAATGAAGATCCGCATAGTTAAAGCAATGGTATTCCCCGTAGTCACCTATGGATGTGAGAGCTGGACCATAGAGAAGGCTGAACGATGGAAGATACTGATAGATGCTTTTGAACTGTATCTCTGTGTACGAACCCACATGATCCCTTCGATCATCTGGAGAGGCCCTGCTCACGCTCCCACCTCTATCGCAGGTGCGATTGGTGGGGACGAGGGAGAGGGCTTTCTCGGTGGTGGCCCCTAGACTCTGGAACTCACTCTCCAAGGACATCAGGCATGCCCCAACTCTGGCAGTCTTTAGGAGGAGCCTGAAAATGTGGTTGTTCCAGTTTGCCTTCCCAGAATAAGGAAACTCCCAGCAATTCTCTCACACCAATTCTCTCACACGGCCAATTCTCTCACACCAGAAGCGACTTGCAGTTTCTCAAGTCACTAGTGACACGACAAAAAAAATATTATTATATAAATACCAAAATCAAAATACTATTGATCTAGGAATGCCTGCACACCCCATCCCTCTCTGAAAACTCTATCCTAGTTCATATTTCATCTGTTCATGCTCAGCATTATTCTTAAATTTTAATTATTACATTTAGCCCAGCCATAGGTTTTAAACGTCGTTGTATTACTGCTATTGTTTATTGTTTATGAGTTTTATTTTATTGTCTGTATCAATTGTTGTTATTGCTTTATCATTGCTGTTTTGTGGGCTCAGCCTCATGTAAGCCGCACTGAGTCCCTCGGGAGATGGTAGCAGGATAGAAATAAAGATTATTATTATTAGGATGTGGAACAATGGCTTCAAACTACAAGAAAGGAGATTCCATCTGAACATGAGGAAGAACTTCCTGACTGTGAGAGCTGTTCAGCAGTGGAACTCTCTGCCCCGGAGTGTGGTGGAGGCTCCTTCTTTGGAAGCTTTTAAACAGGCTGGATGGCCATCTGTCAGGGGTGATTTCAATGCAATATTCCTGCTTCTTGGCAGGGGGTTGGACTGGATGGCCCATGAGGTCTCTTCCAACTCTTTGATTCTATGATTGATTCTATGATGATTATTATTATTATATGTGGAGCCCCCGGTGGCGCAGTGGGTTAAACCCCTGTGCCGGCAGGACTCAAGACCGACAGGTCGCAGGTTCGAATCTGGGGAGAGGCGGATGAGCTCCCTCTATCAGCTCCAGCTCCTCATGCGGGGACATGAGAGAAGCCTCCCACAAGCATGATAAAAACATCAAAATCATCCGGGCGTCCCCTGGGCAACATCCTTGCAGACGGCCAATTCTCTCACACCAGAAGCGACTTGCAGTTTCTCAAGTCACTCCTGACACGACGAAAAAATAATTATATAAATACCAAAATCAAATAATAAATATAATAAAAATAATACAAATATAGAATATAAAGAAAGATAAAGGTAGACCTCACAACCTCTGGGGATGCCTGCCATAGGTGCAGGCGAAACGTCAGGAGGGAATGCTTCTGGAACATGGCCATATAGCTCGAAAAACCTACAGAAACCCTATAAAAGCATGATTATAAGAAGAGGAGAGTAAAAAAATAATTATTATTTTATTGTCCTATGGTATATAAGGAGGCTCGAGCATCCGCAGATATTGGGATCTGGAACCCAAACCCCGCGGATACCGAGACCCACCCACCCAATTGGATTCCTGCTGCAGAGGCGCTGCGCATCTCCTCCTCTCCCTCCTTGCAGGCGCTTGTCTCTTTAAGCGCAGGTGCTGTTCAGCTGGTAGCCGGGCGCAGCTCTCCGATTGGCCGCTCGAAAAGGGGTGGGGATGACGTCACAGCAAACTGGCCATACGATTGGCCGAGCGGCGGGTTCGGCCACCTGATTGCAGTCTAAGTGGGCACGAGGGGCGGGGGCTGTTGTCCTGCAGCAGCAGCAGCAGTGCCTGTAATTGCTAAACTGGGGCTGGCCTTCCATAGGCCTCTACCCCGGGATGGAGGGAGATCAATAGGTGGTCCTGGGTGCAAATCAGGGGCTGCCTTGCCCTCTTCTTGCAGCCTCTCCTCGTCTGCAGAAGCGGTGAGAGCCTTTCCCTCCTATTCCCTATAGGAAGGGTGAGTCTGGCTGGGTCCTTTGCTATTATGGTTACATCTACAGCAGGCATGGGCCAACTTGGGCCCTCCAGGGGTTTTGGACTCTAACTCCCACAATTCCTAACAGCCGGTAGGCTGTTAGGAATTGTGGGAGTTGGAGTCCAAAACCCCTGGAGGGCCCAAGTTGGCCCATGCCTGTAGAATTAATCTGGGTTGATAGCAACTTTCCAGCACTTTCCTTGTGATCCCAGCATTCCATTCCATTTGTGGCATTGGCAATTTAAAGTGGTGCCAATCCGCATTAAATCTGCAATGTAGACGCCCCCATGGAGGGAGTCTTTCCCTCACCTTTACTAGATAAGGAGATCTTGAGATTTTAGCCTGGATCTACACTGGTATAAATATCCCAGTTCAAAGCAGATAATCTGGATTCAGATTATCTGGTTTATGTGGCAGTGTAGATGGGGCCTTATGAGCTGGCCCAAGATACCTGAACACGGTTAATTGTTGACACTGGGCAAAGTATTGCCTGCTCCTCATTTTTTTGGAATTAGAATAATATATAGAGAGAGAGATTGGGAAAGCTATTGGTTGCTCTTTTTTTTTGAATTAGGATAATACAGAGAGAGAGAGTTGAAGCTCTGAGGGCCATTAAAGCCCTACCGACAAATGGCCATCCAGCCTAGAAGCTGGCCCAAGAGACCTGAACACAGTTAATTGTTGACACTGGGAACAGTATGGCCTGCTCCTCATGTTTTTGGAATTAGAATAATATATATAGAGAGAATTGAAGCTCTGAGGGCCATTAAAGCCCTCCTGACAGATGCCCATCCAGCCTTAGAAGCTGGCCCAAGAGACCTGAACACAGTTAATTGTCGACACTGGGAAAGGTATTGGTTGCTCTTTTCTTTGGAATTAGAATAATACAGAGAGAGAGAGAGAGTTGAAGCTCTGAAGGCCATTAAAGCCCTCCCGAGAGATGGCCATCCAGCCTTAGAAGCTGGCCCAAGAGACATGAACACAGTTAATTGTCAACACTGGGAAAAGTGTTGGTTGCTCATCATTTTTTTAAAATTAGAATAATGCACAAAGAGAGAGTTGAAGCTCTAAGGGGCATTAAAGCCCTCCCGACAGATGGCCATCCAGCCTTAGAAGCTGGCCCAAGAGACCTGAACACAGTTAATTGTCGACACTGGGAAAAGTATTGTTTGCTTCTCATTTTTTGTGGAATTAGAATAATATATAGAGAGTTGAAGCTCTGAGGGCCATTAAAGTCCTCCCGACAGATGGCCATCCAACCTCTGTTTAAAAACTTCCATAGAAGGAGACTCAGAAACAGCTCTTAATGTCAAGAGTCTATGGGCCCTTCCAGACAGGCCCTATATATATCCCAGGATCTGATCCCAGGTTTTCTGCTTTCAACTGGATTATATGAGTGCACTGGCACAGTGGGTTAAAGCGCTGAGATGCTAAACTTGTTGACTGAAAGGTCGCAGGTTTGGATCCGGGGAGCAGCGTGAGCTTTTGCTGTCAGCCCCAGCTTCTGCCAACCTAGTAGTTTGAAAACATGAAATGTGAGTAGATCAATAGGTACCGCTGCGGCGGGAAGATCATGGCGCTCCATGCAGTCATGCTGGCCACATGACCTTGGAGGTGTCTATGGACAACACCGGCTCTTCGGCTTAGAAATTGAGATGAGCACCAACTCCCAGAGTCTGACACGACTGGACTTAATGTCAGGGGAAAACCTTTACTTTTACTATGAGTCCGCATAGCCAGATAATCCGAGATAAACAGAAAACCTGGGATCAGATCCTGGGATTTAGGGCCTGTCTGGAAGGGTCCTATGACATTTAGATCCCCCCTAGACTGCCATATAATCTGAATCCAGATTATCTGATTTGAACTGGATTATATGAAAGTGTAGATTCATATAATGCAGTTTAAAGCAGATAATCTGGATTCAGAAACTGGATCATATGCCAGTGTAGACCCAGCCTTATTCTGCCAAGTCTTTTACATAGGATAATATACTCTAAAATGAGGGACTTACTGGGTGAAGGTCTGGTTACATAATTATTGGGAAGCTTGACCCTGAATCCATGCCTTGAGGTCACACTATCTTGATATTCTTGACTGACTGATAGCAAAAGATAACAACTGAGGCCCTTTCCACGCAGCTGAATAAAATCTCACATTATCTGCTTTGAACTGGAATATATGGCAGTGTGGACTCAAATAACCCAGTTCAAAGCAGATATTGTGGGATTTTCTGCCTTGATATTCTCGGTGTTATGGCTGTGTGGAAGGGCCCTAAGTAACTTGAAAAGTTGTTATGAGAGCTTTACTTTCAATTCAGAGTTCAAGAATGGAAGGTGAGATATCAGTGTTGTATAAAAAGGCTTTATTCTTCATTTCACAACGGTACAGTCTGCTCTCAAGGGTAAAAGTGTTCATCAAGTGCATTATAGATTAAATTAGCCCAAAACAAAGAAAATCATGAAAATAACCTCTGAGGATGCTTGCCATAGATGCAGGTGAAATGTCAGGAGAGAATGCTTCTAGAACATGGCCATATAGCTCGAAAAACCTACAACAACCCAGTGATTCCAGCCATGGAAGCCTTCGACAATACATTAAAACAGAGAAAACCTATTGTTAAAAGCACAACATAGTAACATTAACCTAATATAGAATGTTGTAAATATGTTACTAATATCCTAAAGACTGACCTAGCTTACTATAGTTAACTCAGCTGAATACTGAATGTAGTAAATATATATTTTATATACCAAAAGACAGACAAAACAGGGCCCTGCTTACTATAATGACATTAGACTAATACAGAATGCAGGGAATGTGTTTAAAGTGTTGTAGTTTTAGCTTTGGATACATTTTTAAAAGTAAGTTTTAAGCATTTTGGCTGTTTTTAACTAATACCATTGATGTTTAATTCTATTTTGATGTTTGTATATTTTTGGATTTTAAATCATTTTGAATTGCTTTTTATTGTAAGCTGCTTTGAGTCTCTTTTGTGGAGAGAAAAAGTGGGGAATGATAATAATAACAATAACAATAATAAGAATTTCCTACTTTTCTCAAGCACATTGCTCCCACTCTTTTTATGTAACAAGACAAAATACCTATCACTATCTCTTGCTTTCTCTGGTTGCTCCTTTCTTCAGGGATTACACTTCTGTTCTCAATAAAAAACCATTTGGAAAAAAAAATAAGAAGCAGCAGCAACATCTGGAAAAGCTTACACAATACGAGGATTTAAAGATAGAACTGCAAAGACTCTGGCACAAGCCAGAAAAGGTGATCCCAGTGGTGATCGGCACACTGGGTGCAGTGCCTAAAGCCCTTTGCCTGCACTTAAAAACAATCAGAACTGACAAAATTACCATCTGTCAGCTGCAAAAGTCCACCCTACTGGGATCTGCATGCATTATTCACCAATACATCACACAGTCCTAGTCACTAGGGAAGTGTCCGACGTGTGATCCAATACAACAACCAACAGAGAGATCTTGTTGTGTATCAAATAACAATATTAATCCTCATCATCCTAGAGGATAGCGAAAGCAGTATAAATGTTTACTGAAGTATAAATACTGTATATACTCGAGTATAAGCCTAGTTTTTCAACTCCCTCTTTAGGCTGAAAAAGTTCCCCTCGGCTTATACTCGAGTCAAGGTTATTTATTATTTTGTTATTAGTATCATTTTATTACATGAATTATTTTATTATATTAATTATTATTATAATTATTTTACTCTATTTATTATTAGTATTATTATTTATTTACTCTTTTTTATTATTATTACATTTATTATTTTACTTTATTTTTATTGTTACTGCATTTATAATTTTACTCTGTTATCACTGTTATTACATTTCCATTATTTTACTCAGTTATTTATTTATTTATTTATTTATTTATTTCCCTGGCACAAAAACACAGTATGACACAGCAAACGAGGTATATATGCTGGATTTCAGTATTATTATTATTATTTTACTATCTTTATTATTATTGGCTACATAAGCACATTTACATTGAAGATTAGAATAATGATTTAATCAGAGTTGGACAGTCTTATCTTAAATTACAGTTTATGTAAATATTCAAAAACATTTAACCTACTGATGCCTCAATTAATGTAATTTTATTGATATCTATTTTTATTTTGAAATTTACCTGTAGCGGCTTCATTTCCCACCCTCGGCTTATACTCGAGTCAATATGTTTTCCCAGTTTTTTGTGGTAAAATTAGGTGCCTCGGCTTATATTCGGGTCGGCTTATACTCAAGTATATACGGTATTCAAATGCAGTGTATACTGTAGAATTAATACAGTTTCACACTGCTTTGACTGCTATGGCTAAGCTCAAGGCTATGGAAATAATGGAAGTTGTAAAACCAACCTAACTCAGAGTGCAGCAAATACGATTTTAAATGCTAAAGGACAACAAATATAGGGTCTTGCTTGATTTCTTTTTATGAGGCATCCAAAGGATGAGGATGCCTCATAAAAAGGCCCTGTACTTGATCCATGCTAATCTTACGGCATTATTTATAAACCAGACATCAAAGCTTTGGATGTTCGTCTTAAAATTCAAATTCACTAAGACTATACGTCCATTGTTTTGCTAGTTCCATCAGTAGGCTCACACTGTTTATTAGCTATTGCTTGTCTTTCTTCCCTGGCAGGAAGATGGCTTTGCCCTGGAATAAAGTTCTGCCTGCTCTGCTCTCGTTTCTCTTGCTGTTCCTTTGGCTCCCGAACCCAAGCGCTTCCCAACAAGAGCCCTGCCAAACCTGCAGGGACCTTGCCAGCAACTTCCATAAGGTGAGAGGACAGAAAAGATTTTGGCTTGGACTGGGGATTGGCGACAGTTGCCCGTGGGAGCGTCTATATCAGGCATGGGCAAACTTGGGCCCTCCAGGTGTTTTGGACTTCAACTCCCACCATTCCTAACAGCCTCTGGCCCCTTCCTTTTCCCTGAGGGGGAAAAGGAAAGGGCCTGAGGCTGTTAGGAATGGTGGGAGTTGAAGTCCAAAACACCTGGAGGGCCCAAGTTTGCCTATGCCTGATCTACACTGTCTAATCAAGGCAGTTTGGCACCAGAACTCTTTGGCAGATAAGCCTCAAGATCCTGTAAAATTCCCACACAGCTCGCATGATTCCATAGCATTGAGCCAGGGAAGTTAAAGTGGTGTCAAACTGCTTTTTTTTCCCCGACAGTGCAGATGCGTCCCATGATAGAGATGTGCAAGCACTTAGTAAGGGAGCATTAGTACCCAGACCCTCTCTTTACTTTCTTCATCGAAGGATGGCTGGGGAAGTGGCCTGAAGTAAAAAATCATGGAGCACTGTCTGCACTGACCATTTAATGCAATTTCAAATCGATATTGAAGAAAGTGGTTTTGCTGTGCAGATAATAAGAAATTCTGGAGCCAGTTTGTGGCCTGAATGGCTATTTCACAAACCACCGATTCCCATTGAGAGTTTGGTGTTTCGCCACCGGAGTTTGAAGTTAGCTTTGAACTGTATGAAATGATCAGTGTAGATGGGACCTGAGAGATCGACCAGGGTGGGACAAAGCTGGGGATTTACTAAGCTTGTCTTGCAAACCTCTGGAGTTTGCGGGTTGATGCATGTGGGTTTGGGGTGAGGGTTTTCTGGGGGTGAGACGGGGGAAACAAACCTTAGCTATGGATTTGCTGTGAGCCTTCTCCTGCCTTCCCAGGGTCTGGAGCGGACACAGCGAGAGAACTTCGGGGGCGGGAACACAGCCTGGGAAGAAGAGAAACTTGCAAAATATGCAAACAGGTGACCTGAAGTCTGGGCTGCGCCAGGTTGTGGGTGAGATGCGGCTGTTACAGAGTGTGCTGGACTGCGATCCTTGTGAGAAATGGCAACACCAAAATCTTGGCCTGAAGAGACATGGGCGTGTTCATGATGATGATGCCTTTCAAGGTGGACTGTGACTCCTAATGCAAAATTGAGTAATAATAATAATAATAATAATAATAATAATAATAATAATAATAATAATCTTTATTTATACCCCACCACCATCTCCCCCAATGGGGACTTGGAGCGGCTTACATGGAGCCAAGCCCAAACAACAGATTACAAAAAATTCAAAATTACAATAAAATAAACAACATAACATTAAAGTATAAAACGTCAAAGCATATAAACAATATACATAGAACATATTTATTTATTTGTCGTGTCAGGGCAACCAGTCAATTATATTACATTTCTAACAGAACAAAGCAAACCAACAGACAAAATACAAAATTTGTGAGTTTGGTATTTGATTAAATGTCCTTTGACCAGTATCTTGCCACTTGGAGTGCTTCTGGTGTTGCTGCAAGAAGGTGCATGTGGCAGGGCTCAGGTTGCATTGCAGCAGGTGGTCAGTGGTTTGCTCCTCTCTGCACTCGCATGTCGAGGATTCCACTTTGTAGCCCCATTTCTGAAGGTTGGCTCTGCATCTCGTGGTGCCAGAGCGCAGTCTGTTCAGCGCCTTCCAAGTCGCCCAGTCTTCTGTGTGCCCAGGGGGGAGTCTCTCATTTGGTATCAGCCATTGGTTGAGGTTCTGGGTTTGAGCCTGCCACTTTTGGACTCTCGCATGCTGAGGTGTTCCAGCGAGTGTCTCTGTAGATCTTAGAAAACTATTTCTAGATTTAAGTCGTATACGTGCTCGCTGATACCCAAACAGGGGATGAGCTGGAGATGTCTCTGCCTTGGTCCTTTTAAATCATTGTATGTACATGCGGCCCGCTTTCTGTCCTTATGTTTGGTACATAGAACATAAGAACCAAATATAAGGACAAAAAGCGGGCCGCATGTACATAAAATCATTTAAAAACTCCGGGTGAGATAAAGGGGTAAAACTAATTGTAAGGAGGACTCATGGAGTATTTATTTATTTATTTATTTATTTATTTATTTACTCCTTTTGTATACCGCATATATCAGCCTAACAAGGCGACTCAATGCGGTTTACAGTAAAATGTGCAACACAGAGCAATAAATATAACTGACATACACAAACGACACACATATAATCATCAACGCCTCAAATAGAATCAGATCCCATTCTCACAGTCATATTACCATTCCTTGTTCAATATGCCGTTTTCCTAAGCCAGATGTTATTACATGATTACCCGAACGCCTGTTCATAGAGCCACGTCTTAACCCTCCTCCGAAACGCCAGTAACGAAGGAGCCCCCCGTCCATGCAGTCCCATACCTATTCTCCTGGGAGGAACCCACAATTAAGTCCAAATTATTTTTAAAAATCTATTTATGTTTTACACTGGCCAACACACATGTTAGTGACTCAAATGTTAGCCCTGTTTCTGGGTATATTTGACCCACTGATTTCAAAAATGGCACCAGCCTTCCCCTTTCAGCTCCAGTTGTTGAGATACAGAACATATTTATTTATTATTTATTAATTTATTTAGAACTTTTATATACCCGTCTTCTCAACCTCTGGAGAGGGACTCAGGCCGGTTTACAACAAAAATTCTTAAACAGTGGTTTAAAACATCACATCCCATAAAACAGTAATACATTAAAAAGCAATCATATAATTACATAAGGCCAAGTTGTCAAAATGAAAACACAATTCATCACCATCCGTCCGTGTGGTCAAGGGTTGTTGACTCACTTATCAAATGCTAAATTCCAGAGCCAAGTTTTCACCAGCTTTCTAAAAGTCAGGAGGGAAGGGGCAGTTCTAATCTCCAGTGGGAGAGAGTTCCAGAGCCGAGGGGCTACCACCGAGAAGGCCCTGTCCCTTGTCCCCACCAGACGTAATTGTGAGGGTGGTGGGACAGAGAGCAGGGCCCCTCCAGAAGATCTTAACAACCTTGATGGTTCATAGGGGAGAATCCGTTCGGACAGGTAAACTGGATAGATTGCATCACCCTCTATGCCCTCTATCAGTCGCCATCTGATAAACTTAATCTAAGAACCTAGAGGTGATGCAATCTATCCAAAAACAATTTCTTTATATCCAATCTATCAGTGAGAGAGGCCTCAGTATGATAGACCTCAGACTGAGGTAGCCCCCAGGATGAGAGAGGCCTCAGTGGGAGACAGGCCTCAGTGTTAGTTCACCTCAGTGTGAGGTAGGCCTCAGTATGAGAGAACCCCCAGGTTGAAGACCTCGTGTGTGAGCTCCAGTGTAAAAAGCTTTTGTGTGTAAACTACTGTGTTTCACACCAAATAACCCCAGAAACAGACCTAAAAACGAAGTCACAAAGAATCTTTCTTTGTTGGGCTGTGTTATTAATAGAGGTGATCAAGGATAGATACATGCATAAATATTCATGCTGCATGTGAAGTCAGCTCAGAACAACCAGCAGCCCACCTTGAATGGCATCCCAGTATTGGGTGTTCTTATATATTTGCCTGCCATTTTAATCATAAATCTTAACTGTACACTCTGATTGAGGGTGTAATATGATTGTATCTTATATGTACCTTCCTCTATATGGCACGACAAATCACTACAGAGATCTTGTTATATGCATTACCGGTCCTGACTGTGAGAGCCGTATAGCAGTGGAACAGTGGAACTCTTTGCCCCGGAATGTGGTGGAGGCTCCTTCTTTGGAAGCTTTTAAACAGAGACTGGATGGCCATCTGTTGGGGGTGCTTTGAATGCAATTTTCCTGCTTCTTGGTGGGGGTTGGACTGGATGGCCCATGGGGTCTCTTCCAACTCTATGATTCTATCCTCAGAGAAAACACTGAAAGCAAGCATGGAAATTGGTTTGCCTGCAGTATTTCTTTTGATTCCCGCTCCTTCTTAAACTCTCTCTGAATGTCCTGTTTCTCAGAGGGGTAGCAGGCCATAGCTTTCAATATTTCTCACTATTCCTGATGACTCTCTTTTTATCTCTTTACTAATGTAGATATTTGTCCATACGCCACAATTTTTTTAGCTCAAAAGAACGGCTTTTAAGGAATAATAATAATAAAAAAACTTTATTTATACCCTGCCAAGGGGACTTAGGGCAGCTTACATGAGGCCAAGCCCAACAACACATCAGTAACAAGAAAACAGCAAGCAAATAAAACAGTACACTTAATATAACATGTAACATATAAACAATAACACAGAGAATCTCTAGGTCTTCCAACATGACCCTGTGAAAAACATTTCCCTGAAGGTGACCATACAGTTTTGCTGGAGGACCTACGGTGACCGTTTTTAGGGAAAGCTACCCTAAAATATAACAGAGCATCCGAAAACAAACAGGATACAAAGTTGAGCATCAGCTCACAGCTAGCAGAATGTGAAGTGCCATGTGATGTGGCTGTAAAGAATCCAGAGCTTAGGAGGCAAACATTCAGAGTCCAAACTTTAAAAAATCACAAGTGACGAAATCCTCTCCTCTATGCATCATTTGATAGTATAGGCACCAAATCAGACTTGCTATTAATCAGTTACATTCATAGCCCACTTTTCCTCCAATGAGCAGAAGGCAGCATACATGACACACTTCGTCTTCACAACAACAATGTTCAGTTTGTCCAAGTTTGAGTTCCTAATGTTATCTGTGAATGTGGTGGCTCAGTGGAACTAGACCGTGGGTCACTTGGGCCCAGTGTGATAGTCTCATCCAGTATTTACCAAACTGTATGTTACAGGACAAGGCTTTTTGAACTGTGAGTCTCAACCCCAAGTCATTGGTTATGACTGTTGGTTTTTTGCCTTTCTGGAAACCCAGAACCAGATGAGGAGAGACCTTTCCCCCTTTGTCTTGGTAGGAAATTGTCAGATCTGGAATGTCTACTTACAAGTCTGAGAAGTGACAGGATGTTCTATTGCATAATGATTCAACATGTCCGATAGGCTGTTAGGAATTGTAGGAGTTGAAGTCCAAAACACCTGGAGGGCCCAGGCCTGCTCTAGAGCATTTCTAGATCATAACTCCAGGCTCTTCAGCACAACAGAATAAAAGAATTATAGACTTAAAAGCGATCCTAAGGGCCATCCAGTCCAACTCCATTCTGCCATGGAAAAACACAATCAAAGCTCTCCCAACAGATGGTCGACCAGCCTCTTCTTAAATCCCTCCAGAGTAGAGTTTCCACCACACTCCAAGGTAGCATATTCCACTGCTGAACAGTTCTTACCATCATGAAGTTTTTCCTAATGTTGAAGTGGAATCGGTTCACTATAGTTGCACTAGAGGACCTAGAAATTCCTAGAGTGGTATTCCCTCTTCATAGTTTTTCAGCTTTCGTGCCAATCCTACACCCCTAATCCCATTGAATCTGGGGGACCTACGATACTTGCATCATGCTTCACCACTACCAACGAAACATTTTCTTGCCACTCTTGAGGACAGCAAGCTCGCTCTAGTGAACGTCAAACAGTGCCTCTAGTAGACCCTGTAGTTCTTGTTTTCCCATATATCATGGATGCCTCCTCTGCCTCACTTTACCTAATGGCCCTCAAGTGCAAAATATGGATGCTGAGAGATAAATAAATGCTTGATTGGAAAACAGTGGGGTTCAGAGTTGGTTTCGTTGAGGCAGGACAAACCTTGAAGCAGGTGGAGAGGTTGTGTTAGTCTCTGTCTGTCTGTCTTGATGCTCACCCTTTCTCTCCTTGCAGTGAAACACGTCTGTTAGAGGTCCTGGAAGGTGTATGTGCCACATCAGACTTTGCCTGTCACCAGCTGCTGGAGCAGAGCGAGGACCATGTGGAGCGATGGTGGTTCCATGAGTGAGTGGAGAACAACAAGGCTGGGTTGCTCAACGTGGGATGTGTCTTCTTCTGCTATTAGAATGGCAAGACAAGACTAGGGGCCCTTCCACACTACATAGTTATAGTGATATGATTCCATTTCGACTATTATAGTTCCATCTTGTGAAATCTTGGCATTTACAGTTTAGAGAGTGATAGCCAGAATTCTTAGCCAAATAGCTTTGGTGGTTCACCAAAACTATACATTGGAAGATTCCAAAAATTCAAACATTTACTAATATAACAAATCAAGCTCTGCAAGCTGTGCTAAACAGGCTGATTTTTCCTTTTTATGAAGTACAGCTGAAGCATCTTCTGCTGAGTCCACTGTAAACACTGCACAACAGTTTAGTATAAATGTCTAAAACAGCCACTAGGTGGCATTCAGAAAACTTTTACCATTGCCACATTTTTAGGATCCCGGCATTGAACTAAGGGGATCCCATTTGACAGTGGGACACGCAGTTTAAGAAGCAGTATCATAGACTATCTGCCTCCAACGTGGTCTTTGGAGGACAGTTAGTTATGATTTTCAACAAATCAAGTCCCACACATCTGGAGGGATTCATTTGGGGAAAGTTACCATAGACTATCTCTGTGAGGAGATCTCTCTTGGGACCAATAGTTGAGTAATGTAGGGCTTGTACTACTAGTAAAAGGCAACACAGTGGGAATGGAAGGGGCAGTAATAAGGGCTCTTGTTTTTCTCAGGCAGCAACAGCACCCAGACTTCTTCCAATGGCTCTGCATGGATGCACAGAAACTCTGCTGCCTGCCAGGCACTTATGGTCCTGATTGCCACAGTGAGTTGTGATATGGCCTTCTGCACCTTTATCCTATTTATGTGTGTCAGGATATGCTTATATGTGGAAGTCCTAAAGATATAGCCGAAACTGTTTTTTGCAGTATTGCAAGAGACTGATGCAAAAAAGCATTTTATTTCTTTGGCTGCAATCGAAATGAAAACTATAAAGAAATTTTCTGCCCTTTGACCAGGTCATAATACTAAGTGAAAGAAAGTTAAAGGCATGGCCCATAGAGTATTTAAATTCTATTTTTTTTAATAATCTAGGGGCAAAATTAATCTATGGAAAAGATTAGTTTAGGAATATCGACGGGATACAATCATATGCCGTCTGCAAAAGTATATGGTTGCAAGAGCCAGTGTAACTTTCGCCTTCACAAAGAACAGTGTATACAATTGATAATTCAGTGGTATTTAACTCCCATAAAACGGAAGACCCAGAAGGGTACTGTAGGTGACAATGTGATGAGTTGAGGTCTTACCATTATATATGGTAGTCATGCCTGCAAATACTTCATATTTTGGAATTAATATTTAGAGAAATCAGTAAAATTATATCTGAAATAATTATCACCAGAATTAGTATTACTATCTCTTTTCTAGAATGCAAATACCATATATACTCAGGTATAAGCCGACCCAAATATAAGCCGAGGCACCTAATTTTACCACAAAAAACTGAGAAAATGTATTGACTCAAGCATAAGCCGAGAGTGGGAAATGCAGCAGTTACTGGTAAATTTCAAAATAAAAATAGATACCAATGAAATTACATTAATTGAAGCATCACTCGGTTAAATGTTTTTCAATATTTATATAAAACTGTCATTTAAGATAAGATTGTCCAACTCTGATTAAACCATTATTCTAACCTTCTTCAATGTAAATGTGCTTACGTATCCTTTCAGTAATAATACAGAAAAATAATAATAGAGTAAAATAATGGAAATTTATAATAACAGCAATATTATACATTAAAATAATATTGTATTATATATTATTATATTATACAGTAAAATAATAAATGTAATAAAATGATAATAATAGAGTAAAATAATGTAAAGTAAGAATAACAAATATTTATAGAGTAAAATAATAATTATAATAATAAAATAGAGTAAAATAATAAATGTAATAAAAATAATAAAGTAATGTAAATGTAATAATAACAATAAATAGAGTAAAATAATAAATGTAATAAATAATAATAAAATAATGTAAATGTAATAATAATAATAATATATAGATTAAAATAATAAATGTAATAAAAAACAATAACTCAGTAAAATAGTAAATAACTTTGACTCGAATATAAGCTGACAGGGGCTTTTTCAGTCTAAAAAAACCCTCGGCTTATACTCGAGCATATAAGGTAAGTTTCTCATTAAAATTGGATCATATATCTCTGGCAGGATGTTTATTTCACAGAATTGGAAATACCTAAATGCCCTTCCACTTTCTTGGTGGCTAGAGAGCTGATGTAGAAATCAACTGAAAAATCCAGGGCTACTGGAGATGACCAAGAATTATCTAAATTCCGGTAGATATTCATTATTTGTATAAACCAAAATGCCAGTCTTCTTGCTCTGCAATCACCCTGGGTAGTCAGGAAACTTCAGATCAATATACATCATTGTACTAGATATTAAATCTGTTGTTGGTTTGGTTGGATGTTTGTTTCTTTAAAATCTTTTAAAAAACAATAAAAGGGGTGATTAAAAAGGGGAAATTGTAAAGTCCTTTCGGAGTATGGACTGAATAATTACCATATATACTCACATATAAGTTGACTTTGTTAGGGAAAACTACCCTAAAATATACAGCGGAGCATCCAAAAACAAACAGGATACAAAAGTTGAGCATCCCGCTCTTTAATGAACAGAGCGTGAAGTACCTTGTGATGTGACTGTAAAGAATTAGGAACTTGGGAGGCAAACATACAGAGTCCAATCTTTTTAAAAAAATCACAAAACGTTTATTTACAAAAATAAACAACTATCTACATTTCTTCATGGTAAATAACTAAGTCTGAGCTACTCTTAACACCCACTCTTCTAAGGTTTCAAGAGAGGGATTTGAGATCGTTGGAGGAGGTCCTGCTCTTGATCCCACCTGCTTCACAAGCACGTATGGCGGGGACAAGAGACAGGGCCTTCTCTGTGGTGGCCCCTCGGCTGTGGAACTCCCTGCCCAGGGATATCAGATCGGCCCCCTCCCTCCTAAGCTTTCAAAAAACCCTGAAAACTTGGCTCTTTGAGCAAGCTTTTGGATCTGCAGCTTAATCAGATAAATCTGAATTGGAAAATGACCTAGGAATGGCTAAGATGGCGGAACGGATAAGGACTGAATATGACGACATAGTTTTAATTTTTTTTATTGTTCATTGGTTTGATGTTTTTAGATATAGTATAATGTGATGTTTTATTTTTATTTTATTTTTTTTGTAAATAATTTTTATTAAGATATTTAATAACTACAACGAAAGAGGGTGAACATTTAAAAGAAGATAGGACAGTAGGAAAAATATAAGAAAAGGAAGGAAAATAAAGAAAAAAACCACACACCTAAAAATAAAAATATAAAACCTACTAAGATAAAAAAGGTGTGACTTCCATCTCCTCATCAGGTGTTGTGTCTTCAAAATATTTCCATTACTTTCCCTTTAAAATAGTTCTCTTATTTACTTTTTTCTTTCTCGTAATTATCATAAAGGGTCCAGTCTGTCCTCTTTATAGGGTTTCCGGTATTTTTTTTCAAAAAAAAAAGTTAATTCATCCATCTCTCTTATTTCTCTAATTTTCCCCAACCATTCTTCTATGGTAGGGATGCTGTCTTGTTTCCAAATCTTTGCTAAAACTATCCTTGCTGCTGTCGTGAAATAAGTAAAAAGTCTATCCTCATTCTCCTGTAATTGTAATTCCAAGTCTGTAAAGCCTAGTAAGTAATATTCAGGTTTCTTCTTAAATGTTCTTTTCAAAAAATTTTGTGTTTCTTCATGTATCCTAGACCAATATTTCACTATTTCTTTGCATGTCCACCACATATGATAGAAGGTGCCTGTCTGCTGGCAACCTTTCCAGCATTTATCAGAAGAATTTTTGTTTATTAAAGATAATTTCTTGGGTGTGGTATACCATCTGTGGAACATTTTTACCCAGTTTTCCTTTAAATCTGTTGCGTACACATATTTTAACTTTTTGTTCCACATCTGTTCCCACTCCTTAAATTGGATAGGTCTTCTAATATTTTCAGCCCATTTTATCATACATGATTTAACTTGTTCACCTTCCGTAAGCCAAGTTAGGAGTATATTATAAATAACTGAAATTACTTTTTTCTTTGCCTTCAAAATTTTATCCCAGATTGATTCTTCCCAGGAGAAGCCTATCTTATTATCTTGTTTAATATACTCTTTCATTTGTAAGTAATGCAACCATGTTAAGTTCACATTTTTTTCTTTTAATTGCTGATAGGTCTTAATTTCAGCTGTATTCTCTATTAAAATGTCTTTGTATGTTGGCCATACTCTCCAGCCTAACAGTCTTCGTTGATGGGCCTCCATTGGGGAGACCCAAAGTGGCGTTTTGTTATAGAAATAGTTCTTATATTTCGACCACACTCTCAACAGAGATGCTCTCACGAAGTGATTTCCAAAGTTTTTTTCTTTTTTCTCTCTATCATACCACGTGTAGGCATGCCATCCCACACGCAGGTCATGACCCTCTAAATTCAGACCTTTTTCGTTTTCTAGCAACATCCAATCTCTAATCCACAAGAGAGCACTTGCTTCGTGGTATGTTTTTAGATCTGGGAATCCTAATCCACCTCTTGTTTTTTTATCAATTAAATTTAAGTATTTAATTCTTGGTCTCTTTCCGTTCCAGACAAATTTCATTAATTCTTTATTCCATTTTTTAAAAATTGTCTGATTTCTAATTACAGGTATATTTTGAAATAGAAACAGCAGTTTCGGCAATACGTTCATTTTAATTAATGATATTCTTCCTAATAAGGATAATTTCAAAAATTTCCAGTTCTTGAGATCTTTCTGTATCTTACTCCAAGCCGATTCATAGTTATTCTTCAACAGTTGACCATTCTTTGCCGTTATCCAAATTCCCAAATATTTTAGTTTTTAAACAATTTCCATTCCTGTAGCCAATGCTATTTTCTCCTGATTTTCCTTCTTTACATTCTTAGTTAAATTTTTTGTTTTTCCTTTGTTCACTTTGAAACCTGCCACTTTTCCAAATTCTTGTATTTTCTTTGTCCAATTCTGGAGATTGTTTATTGGGTCTTCCACAATGCCCAACAAATAATCCGCGAAGGCTCTAATTTTATATTCATATTTCCCAACTTTTGCTCCCTTAATATTTGTGTCCTCTCTTATTTTCCTCATTAATAGTTCCAGAGCCATAATGAAGATCAAAGGGGATAACGGGCATCCTTGTCTTGTTCCTTTCGTGATTGCAAATTCCTCCGATTGTTAACCGTTTATCCGAATTTTTGCCCTTTGTACTTCATAAATAGCATTTATTGCATTTATAAATTTTGCCCCCATGTCCAATTCATGAATCAAAATTTTGAAGAAGTCCCAATTTAAATTATCAAATGCTTTCTCGGCATCAATTGATAAAATGGCAGCTTCCTTTTGGTGGTTCGCTTCAAAGTATTCTGTCAAGTCCAAGACTGTACATATATTATCCTTCATGTATCTTCCTGGGAGGAACCCTGTTTGGTCCTCCCCTATCCAGTCCTTTAAGAATTCTTTTAATCTCGTCGCCAAAATATTCGTAAATATTTTATAATCCACATTCAATAGGGAAATAGGTCTATAATTTTTAATATCCTCTGGTGTTGAGCCTTCTTTATGTATCATTACAATTTCGGCTTGGTTCCAAGATTCTGGAATCATTTGGTACAATAATGCCTCATTAAGTACCTTTTTTAACATTGGTAAGACAGTGGTCTTCATTGATTTATAGAATCCAGCTGTAAATCCATCCGGGCCAGGGGCCTTGTCTGCATCCATTTTATTCACTGCTTTATCTATTTCTTCATCCGTAATTTCTTTATTTAACTTTTCCCGTATCTCCTCTGAGATTTTCTGTAATTTCAATTGACTTATGTACTCTGTAATTTCCTCCTTCTTTATTCCATCACTGGTATACAGTTTACTATAATATTTCTTAAATTCTTCCATAATCTCCTTGTCCGATGTAACTGCTCTATCTCCTACAGTTATTTTCGTTATCTGTGTGGCTTGCTTCTTCTTACATACCTGTCTTGCCAACCATTTCCCAGATCTATTCGCATTTTCAAACGTTTGTTGTTTCAAAAATTTCAACTCTCTTGCTTGTCTTTCCATTTCTAAGCGGGACTTCTCTTGTTTGAGTCTCGCTAATTCTTTATTCAATTTTTTGCTGTCCGGTTTCTTTTTTAGCTCCATCTCTTTATTTGCAATTTTATTCGTCACTTCCTTCATTTGTCTATTTCTTTCCTTGTTTTTCCTAGCTCCATGTTGAATAAAACATCCCCTTAAAACAGCTTTCAGAGCATCCCAAGTTACTTGTATTTTTGTCTCCTCAATATCATTGGTTTCTAGATAATCTTTAATAATTTTATTATAATGTATTTTATCCTCCTCTGTCTTGATCAGGTTTTCATTTAATCTCCATTTTCTTTGATAGTTCTTATGGTTTATTTCTATTTCCAGCGGACAGTGGTCTGAGATATCTCTAGGTAGTATTTCCATTTCTACTATCTTAGTAGCTAGTTTTTTTGTTATCCACGCCATGTCTATCCTTGACCATGATTGATGTCGGTGAGAATAAAAGGTATAGTCCTGTTTCTTTTCATTTCTAACTCTCCAAGTATCTTCCAAATCAAATTCCTTTTGAAGTTCAAATTTTTTTTGAGGTAACAGTCCCCCTCCATCTCCATTCCTTTTTGTCTTATTCTTGTCTTTTTGCTTGTCCATCACTCCATTAAAGTCTCCAATCAATAAGAGCTCATCAAATTCAGCTTCTCTCAACTTTGTAGATAAAAATTGGATGAATTTGGTCTTTGGGCCATTTGGTGCATATATATTACATATCAAAATTTTCAAGCCGCCCAACGAAATTTTAACAGCAACACATCTTCCTTCCACATCCTTGAATGCCAATTCTGGTATCAGATTTTCTTTTATATATGTGGCTACTCCTCTTTTCTTCTTTTCATATGATGAATAGAATAACTTGCCTAATTTTTTATTTTCCAAATGTGCCACATGTTTGTGGCAGATATGTGTTTCTTGTAATAATATGATGTCCAAATTTGCCTTTTGTAATTTACCGAATATTTTTTTCCGTTTCTGGGGTGAGTTCATGCCATTAATATTATTCGAGAAACATTTAATTTGTCTCTCCGCCATTTTATCCAAGTAAATCTCTATCCTGTCCTATGTCGCCCAAATTCAGTTCTGAGATTCCTTGCGCTGTCATATCCGGGCCATAAGCTCCTTCTCCTAAATCTTCTGATATTGGTACACTACTCTCTTGAATTTTACTAAATCGTCTGTAGTCTTCCGGGGATTCAAATCTTGGCTTCTTCTTCTCTTGACCATTTCCATTTCCATTTCCCGGTGTCAATGCTTTTTTATCTCCTTTTCTTCCTTCAGGTTTTCCCTCTTCTGATTCCTTCATTAGATTCTCATAGAAGGCCTTCGCCTTTTGTTCCGATGTCAACCAATATCTTTCTTCCTTATACGTTACCATTATGCCTTCGATTCTTTCCCATCGGAATCTAATTGATCTTTTCTTAAGTTCATCCGTAAGGAAGTAGTACTTTCTTCTTCTACTTAGTGTCGCTTGTGGGAACTCTTTCAGAACTGCAATCTTAGTTTCTTTATAGTAGATTGGATTCTTGTTGCTTCTATATAGGACCTCATCTCTGGTTTTTTTTCGTGTGAATTGTACTATAACATCTCGTGGCGTCTTATTTTTCCTTTAATAGAATGAGGATACTCGATATATTTGGTCTAATTCCACCTCCAATTCTTCACATTCCAGACATTTTGCAATTAAATTTGTCTTCAACTGGCCAGTGTCTTCCTGTTTATCTTCCTGAATATTTCTGAATCTTAAATAGTAATCCATTTGCTTTTGTAGTAGTTTTTCTTGCTCTATTTCTATTTTTTCCTTTTGTCTATCTATACCTTTAATCCTCTTCAACACGTGTGATTGTGTTTCCTCCATCTTTTCCTTACTAGTTTTCAATTCCTTTACTTCTCCATATAAGTGAGTTATATCTTTTTTTATTTGCCCAAATTCCTCTTCCATCTTCTTTTTCATTCCTTGGAACTCTTCGGTCATTTTTTTATAATTCTTTTCTTGCTTGTTAAAAAATTCTTCTTGTTTATCCGCCATGTCCTTCTTTAATGAGTCTTGTTTTTCAGACAATTTTTTTATTTCCTTCAAAATATTCTCCATATTGAGGCTGGTGTCTAGTGATCCTCTCCTTATCTGAATCTTCTCCTTCTCTTGTTTCCCTTTTGATGACATCTACCCTTTATTATTTTTGATAACAATTTCTAACAAATTTGTATATTCTAATCCATTGGCATTTTCTATACTTAAATCCAAATATTTAATTACTAATTTATTTGTTTATTTTATTTTATGTATATATATATATTTGATTTATTTTCTTCAATTTATGTCTATTTGATTTAATATTTTTTTAATTATTTTTAATTAATTAATTAATTAATTATTAAAGTCTTACTTTCCTTTATTTCCTCAGCTATCTTATCTTTTCCAATTGATCCTCCAATCCTCTCCAATCTTCTTTAACTTTCCCTGACCACGTCTCTCACTCTGCCTTGTATTCTTTCTCTTCCGCTGTTTTCGTCTACTTCTCTTCCTGGAATCTCATCTGCTTCTCGTCCTAGCTCTTGTCGTCTCGTCTACTTCTCTTCCTGGTATCCCGTCTTCTTCTCGTCCTGGCTCTTGTCGTCTCGTCTGCTTCTCTTCCTGGTATCGTCTTCTTCTCGTCCTGGCTGTCTCCTTCTCCGTCTACTTCTCGTCCTCAATTAATTTATTTACTTTAAAAATTGTTATCTGCCGTTTGCTGCTCCGTAGCGGCTTTTCTCTATGGTTCTTCTTGCTTCCGCCCTTCTTCTAGTTCTCCTTCTGCCCTTCTTCTTCTTTGCCCTCCTCTTCCTTTATCGTCACTTCCCTTTCCCCTCTTCGTCACTTCCTGTCTTCTCTTTCCAACTTTGTTTATGAAGAAGGGAAGTCGCTAGCCATAACAATATGGTGCCAAGGTCGTATATTCTCAGTTTCTTCCTTACTTTTCCAAAGCGGGAAGGGGGGAAAGGGGGGGGAGGAGAAGGGTAGTTTCCAATATCTCCAATCCACTCAGTCTTCTTATAAGTAATGTACCAGGCTTTTCCAAACTCCTTATCCCTCCCAACCTCTTCTCAACCACGGCAGTAGATATATAATATTTAATATCAATTATTAATCAGATATTTCCAAGTTTTCCTAATTGTCCATCTGCTTCATTTCTTTCCGGATCACAAAATATATTTATTCTTCACCGTCTATCCCATAGGTTCTTTTCCATTACTTTTCCTTTCTTTAACTCCTTGATTCCTTCGCTCCTCCACTCTCCAACTTTATTTGTTTATCTTGAGATATACTCTCTCATTACCTGATGGTGAGATTTTCTTGTTGTTCTCCTCCGAGTTTCTTAATTTCTTTCTTCTTTATTGTTGTGCGGGCTGGCTACGGTTGGAACGGGCTTGCGCCCGATCCCAGCGGGGCGCCTGCTTCCCGTCCGCTCGGACCCTCTCGACCCCCCTCCTTGAGGGAAGGGGGTTCTTGGGGTTCAACGAGCCTCTGCGGGTTCGCTACACCCTTGCCTTCAATCCGGCAAAGGTGGGGGAGCAATAAGCTCACCCAGAAGCGCCACTACGCCGGTCCCCCGTCGGAGCTCCCTCTCAACGAGGCTTGCCCGTCGCCATCACCCACCGGAAGTCCATGTTTTATTTTTATTGATGTATGTATTTTATATATGGCATCAGGGCGCCGATTGTTCGCCGCCCTGAGTCGCCTTTGGGCTGATAGGGGCGGGGTAAAAATGAGATAAATAAATAAATAAATAATAAAAACATCCAAGCACTACATTTCTCTGACACACATGCAGAGAGAGATCTCAAAGCACACAGCAATACTCTCCATACTGAAGTGTAAGAAGGCAGAAGTCAGATTCAAAAAGCTTGTAGTAGAAAAGTATCAATTCTATACAACCAATCAGAATGAGAGAAGAAAAAGATACATTGCCAATTATAATTCAGGAGACAAGGGAGAAGGGAAGCCCTTTGTCTATACTAAACTAACTAAACTGCTCCTCATTGAGGACTTGAGACTTGGGCAGTGTGGGGTTGAATCCCAACAGACATCAGGTACAAATCAAGGTCAGCTTTTGGCATCAAAATTATGGATTTTGAAATGATCTGTGGATAAGCCAAGGGTCATTCAGTGGAGAGGGGAAAGTTCCCTTGCCACCTCAAGGGGACCAGTCATCCCCGTCCAGACATTCAAAATGACCAGAGGCAGCAGTGTTGCAGAGATAATGGAAGGGTTATACATTCAAATGAAAGGTCATTGTGGAATTGGAAGGAATGGTGACCTGGTCTTAGAGTCCTGTGTTTGCCTGAGCAAATGGCAAATTCCTACTGGTTCTAACATTGATTTGTATCTCTCCGCAGCTTGCCCCGGGGGTGCCCAGAAGCCTTGCAGTGGGTATGGGCAATGTGATGGGGATGGCACCCGTGGGGGCACCGGCCTGTGCATGTGCCAGACAGGCTACGGTGGCCCTTTCTGCTCAGAATGTGGAGACGGCTACTACGAAGCTGCTCGCAACGACAGCCACCTGGTATGTGCGGGTATGTAGAGAGCCCCTGCTGGGCTGGACTGGGGGCAGGGACTGGAGATGGACGCTCTGCTGCCCCCTGCTGGCTAGGACTGGTTAGTAACAACCCACCCCATTATCACCACCTCTCCTTGGGTCCTTCCGCCAATTCTGGGCTCTTCAGTTTGGCCCACAATATGTATTTGTGTCTGTAAGCCAACACAATGTTGTGCTAAGTAAAATGTAAACACCAGCCTTTTCAGGAAACGCTTACGTTCTGAATTTCAAAGGTATTGAGTTATTTCAAAATCTACCCTATCTATATCTATATATATAAATCTGTTAGGTTGGTTCAACCGGACAGCAAAACTCCACAACCCCCCAACGAAACTGTACCAAAATTGCCATGCCCATAACACAACCCACAAGGTACAAACATATCTACTCAAAATGAAAAACAACACAACACACTCACAAAACGGCAAAACAACAAAACTCAAAAAAACCCCAACGAAACTTAACCAAAATTGCCATGCCCATAACACAACCCACAAGGTACAAACATATCTACTCAAAATGAAAAACAACACAACAACACACTCACAAAACGGCAAAACAACAAAACTCAAAAAAACCCAACGAAACTTAACCAAAATTCACATGCCCATAACACAACCCACAAGGTACAAACATATCTACTCAAAATGAAAAACAACACAACAACACACTCACAAAACGGCAAACAAAACTCAAAAAACACCCCCAACGAAACTTAACCAAAATTCCCATGCGCATAACACAACCCACAAGGTAGAAACATATCTACTACATACATACAAACAGACACACACAACACACTCACAATGGGCAAACAACTAGGGGCATAAGCGCTATGGTGGCCCAGTCTCGACAGTTCCGCTTGCGCAGGCTACAGGCAATCGAGTCGTCAGCATCAACGTTGTTCCTCTGCGGAAGCTCATGCCACCTCCAAGCCCTGCCCGTCTGTGCTTCCTGCACAGCAACTATCACACCCTCCTGGGCATGCGACACACACACGCCACACGGCTCCATCACTCCCCCGGCTGCTACGTAGCTTACAATCGACGGCAACCCCTACCTCCATCTACTCTCCCTGCGCTACTGCCACAACGCGCACGCTCCACTCCCCACTGCTGGTCCGGGCACACACAACACGCAACGCCCGATACGCTCCTCATCCCGCCCGACGCTCGGCACACTGACACACACAAGCCCATTACTCATCCCTACGCTCCATCAGCTCCCCTGCGCCCAATCTACTGCTAGTCTCTTTACTTCTACGCCTACGCCTCGCTAAAACTCCCGACCCCGCTTGCACGTTTTCCAGGCTGTCTGGACATGTTCCAGAAGGAAAGACAGAAGGAAGGATGGAAGCAAAAAGCGAGGGAAGGAAGGAAAGAGGTAGAGAAGGAAGAAAGAGGAGATAAAGAAAAGGAGGAAGGAAGGAGAGAGGTAAAGATGGAAGGAAGGAGAGAAGGAAAGAAAAAAAGGGAAGGAAGAAAAGAGGGAGCAAAGGAAGGAAAGAGAGAAGGAAGGAAGGAAAGAGGTAGAGAAGGAAGAAAGGAGAGAAAGAGGAAGGAAAAGAAAATGGGGGAAGGAAGGAAAGAGGTAGAGAAGGGAGGAAGGAGAGAAGGAAAGAAAATAAGGGAAGGAAAGGGGAAGAAGTAGAGAAAGAGGGAGGGAAGGGAAAGAAGAAGAGAGAGGAAGAAAAGAGACCAGAAGAGAAAGAAAGGGGGAAGGAAGGAAGGAGAGAAGGAAAGAAAAAAGGGAATGAAGGAAGGAAAGAGGGAGTGAAGAAAGGGGGAAGATGTAGAGAAAGAGGGAGGGAAGGAAAGAAGGAAAGAGAGAAGGAAGAAAGAGAGACAGCTGAAGAGAAAGAAAAAGGGGGAAGGAAGGAAAGAGATAGAGAAGGAAGGAAAGAAGGAAAGACGGGAAGGAAGGAAGGAAGGAAAGAGGGAGTGAAGGAAGGAGGGAAGGAAAGAGAGAAGGAAGAAAAGAGACCAGAAGAGAAAGAAAAAGGGGGAAGGAAGGAAAGAGATAGAAAAGGAAGAGGAGAAGGAAAGATGGGAGGGAAGGAAGGAAGGAGGGAAAGAGGGAAGGTTGACCACAGCAACGCGTGGCGGGTAAAGGTTGTTATTTCTATGATTATTATGATGCTATTATTCTTATGAGACCCTTTTAGGGGGAATGGGAGAGGTGTCAGGTCCCAGAGGCAATGCATTGCATTATTGTTATTGTTATGATGGTGGTGAAATAAAAGGAAATAAAAAGTGAAAGAAGGAAGCAAACAGGGAGGGAAGAAAGGCAAAGGAAGAAAAGGGGAGGGAATGAAGGAAAGAGAGAAGGATGAAACCAAGTAGTGAAAGAAGGAAAGAAAGAAAGAGGTAGAGAAGGAAGAAAGGAGAGAAAGGGGGAGGAAAAGGGGGAAGGAATAGGTAGGTACCTCTCTTTCATAATAGTCCAGATATCTACCTCAACTTTGATAAGTTTTACTATAGGCCACAGCAACGTGGCGGGTACAGCTAGTATCTATATAAATAAAAAATGTAATGTTCGTTTGTGGGGTTAACATAACTCAAAAACTACTGGATGAATTGACACCAAATTTGGACACAATACACTTACCAGGCCAACGAGTGACCAACACTCATAAAACACTGAAAAACACAGCCAACGAGACTTTAAAAGCCAAAACCCCCCAACCAATAGTCCAACGAGTGTACATCACCCCTTAAAACACACACAAAAACCAGTAGAACGAACTTTAAAGCCCCCCCAAAATAAACCATATATACATATGCACATACATTCATATACATATACACATGCGCACATACATACATACAAAAATACACACACATATATATATGCAAGCACAAATATATACATATACATACATATACACCTACACACATATAAACATACATACACACATACACACACATATATGTATATACACAATGGCACACATATACACAATATATATATACACATATAAATACAGAAATACAAATATATATATATATATATACACACACACCCAAAAGCACACATATATTCACATATACACACACATAAACACATATACACAGACACAAAACACATATACACAGACTGGGTCACAGCAACACGTGGCAGGGGACGGCTAAAATATATGCATACAGGCAGTCCCCAAGTTACAAACAAGATTGGTTCTGTAGCTTTGTTCTTAAGTTGAATTTGTATATGGCCTCATCACACTAGAGAATGAATCCACTTTAAATCTGGTTTCTGCCTCCTGCAGAATTCTGGGGTTTGTAGTTTAGGGAGAAGCCTTTAACAACCTCACTAAACTACAAACCCCAGAATTCTTCAGGAGGCAGCAACCGGCTTTAAAGTGGATTCATTATCTAGTGTGATGAAGTAGATATAAATCGGAACAAGTACATTTTTAAGCGTAACTAGCCAAATATATACTGGTATATATATAAGCTTTGGATAGCACAGGGAAGGGTTAACACCCCTGTGGAGGCCGGTTCAGAAGATTTCACATCACTTTCTGTCTCTGTGATAATAGAAAATTTGGATTGTTGTGGAAACAAGGATTGGTGAGAAAGCTTCAGTGAATACACCTTTCCGCCATGATAGCTCTTTCATGAATGAATTTCCCTTCCTAGAGGGAGCTTTTCTCTCACTTCCTGTTGTCTCACCCCTGTTCTTAACTATGAGTCATTTGTAAGTCAGATGTTTGCAACTCAGGGACTGTTATGTATATACATACATATACCCTATATACACACACACATCAGTGCTGGAGCAAGGAGAGAGGAAGGGAGGAAAGAAAGAGAAAAGGAAAGAATGAAAGAATGAAAGGGGAAAGTTATGAGGAGAGGAAAATAGCAAGAAGAGTGCGTCCCCTTCAACACCCAGGCATACTAGGTATTACTAGCTGTTATTGTTATTATTTCCTTGTTTTTTTTGTCTTGATTGAGACCCAAAGCCGCTTCATGAGCAATCATCTGGATCAGGCTTTCACTCTTCCCATTGCATATTCATTTCTCTCTTCCTCAGAGTGCTACAGAGCGTGTGGACGCTGTTCGGGGCCTGAGGACTCAAGTTGTTTGCGCTGCAAGCGGGGTTGGATGCTACACGACCGGAGATGCATTGGTGAGCTTGTGAGGCTACGCATTTTTTTTTGAAAGCATTCACCCTTTCCAGGTGTTGTGCATTCTGTATAGAGATAACTTGGAGGCAGGATAATTTTGACGGTGAAAGCCATAAGAAACAGCTGCACCAGGTGATGAATGAAGAGAGTGAGGGAGAGGGAACTATTCTGTCTGATTCCTAGACTGACTCCTTTCTTTCTTGCCTCAAACAGACATAGATGAATGCGGCACAGAAATGGCACACTGTCGGGCCAACCAGTTTTGTGTCAACACTGAAGGATCCTACGAGTGTCGAGGTGAGTACTCCAAACCTGAAGTCCAAATCTGGCAGTGTGAGTGCCAGACACAGATTATGGCATGAGAAGTTTCAGAAAGAACGGGAAATATATGTAGCAGAGGCAAAGGCAATCTGGTCAGGATAAATGTCTATTTGAAAGGTTTTACTTTTTGCAGATTTTCCTTGTCTCACATACAAAGCAGTGCTGGCTTTTCCATGAGATTGATTGAGTGAGGCAACTGTTGGGTGAGTGGGCTTATTAACAAAAGACCCTCCTCATAAATGCACAGCAGAGTAACTTATTAGCAGTAGGGTGACCCAGCACCAATAGCCCAAAATGATAAAAATACACAGATCAATGTTATCTCTTCATTTGGAGGCTTTTCTTTGTAATAAAGTAATATGGTTGCACTATTTACAAGCACAGGGTTTCTTTCTTTGCTTCCACGCTGGGCTACTTTGTCATTCAGATAAATAGCTTCACTCTCACAGAGCCTTCTCTCACACCAAAGTTACACAGGAGCTTCACACAGTATCTTTACATACAGCAGCCTTCAACTGGAGCTTTACACATGAAGCCTTCAACCTGGGGCTTCCTCTCACATACTGAGGGCTACTAACACTGAGGCCTACCTCACACGGAGGCCTTTCTTCCACTGATGCCTTCTCACACCGAGGACTCTCTCAGATTGAGGCCTTTCTCCCACTAAGGCCTACCTCACATTGAGGCCTTTCTCCCACTGATGCCCTCTCACACTGAGGACTCTCAGACTGGGGCCTTTCGCCCACTAAGGCCTACCTCACACTGAGGCCTACTAAACTGCAGACACACCTGCTTACAGCTTTTGCTGAGTCATTGTATCCATTTAACGCTTTCAGCGCTTGACTCACATTTTTGTAATTAAAAATACCTAGTTATTTTTTTAATATTTCTGACAGCAACTGCCTCAGGCAGCAGATGTCAGGGATCAGGGAGAAGATGCAGGTTAGCATACATGTTTCTTAGTCTATTCTCTTTATATATCTCACCTTTCTCCTTTCGTGAGACCAAGGGCAGTTTACTCACTTCCCACACACAGTTTCACACTTTGCAGAGTCTTCTCATGGAAGACCTGCCAACTTCATGTAACTGGTTTGGAAACCAAACCCTACAAAGAATGGCTCAGGGAGCTGGGTATGTTTAGCTTGGAGAAAAGAAGGCCGAGAGGTGGACATTATATCCATGTTTAAACTTTTGAAGGGATGTCACATTGAGGAGGGGGTAAGCTTGCTTTCTACTGCTCTGGAGCAATGGGTTCAAACTGCAGGAAGAAAAGATGCCACCTACATGATAGGAAGAACTTCTTGACAGTAAGAGCTGTTCAGCAGTGAAATATGCTTCAACCTTGGGGTCCAGTTGAGTCTCCTTCTCTGGGAGATTTTAAGCAGAGGCTGGACAGCCATCTATTGACTCCTTTGGCCTGAAAAAGCATTTGTATTCTGCCTCCAGTTCAAAAATGTCTTGTGCTCCCTTTCATGCATACCACTATCACTATGCACTGTAACTCCACAGCTTTCCTTCGCCAGAAGAGATTAGTTTTTGTTTCTGCTTCCTAAGCTCATCTCTTTCTTTCTTCACAGATTGCGCCAAGGCTTGCATTGGCTGCATGGGCGCTGGGCCTTCTCGCTGCAAGAAATGCAACAAGGGTTATCGGCGTGACGGTGTCAAATGCCTCGGTAAATCTTGCCACCAAACAAAGATTTGTATTTTTTAAGAATACATACGATTTAATTAATCTGGAGAATGCAGAGTATATTGTCGAAGGCTTTCATGGCCGGAATCACTGGGTTGCTTTAAGTTTATGCCATGTTCCAGAAGCATACTCTCCAGATGTTTTGCCCATATCTACGGCAGGCATCCTCCAAGGTTTTGTGGTCTGTTGGAAACTAGGCAAGTGAGGTTTATATATCTGTGAAATACCCAAGGTGAGAGAAAGAACTCTTGTCTGCTTGAGGCAAGTGTGAATGTTGCAATGGGTCACCTTGATTAGCATTGAATGGCCTTGCAGCTTCAAAGCCTAGCTGTTGGGGGAATCCTGACTGGGGGAATCCTTTGTTGGGAGGTGTTTGCTGGCCCTGATTGATTCTTGTTTGGAATTCCCCTATTTTTTGAGTTTTGCTCTTTGTTTACTTTCCTGGTTTTAGAGGTTTTTTAATACTGGAAGCCAGTTCATGGTTTCCTCCTTTCTGTTGAAATTGTCCACATGCTTGTGGATTTTAATGGCTTCTCTGTGCAGTCTAACATGGTGGTGTTCAACAGACTTCAAAACCTCTGAGGATGCCTGCCATAGATGTGGATGAAACTTCAGGAGATAATGCTTCTGGAACATGGCCATACAGCCTGGAAAACTCACAGCAACCAAATACAGAATATATTTTCTGTGACCCATAGAGGGAGCAGCCTTTTAGAAGTACTGTATGTTAACCACAAGCCCACATGCTCATTTTTTCCATTTATTATGTTGGGAAGTTTTGAATATTTGTAGACTGTTCTTCTTAAACTCTTGAGGATCATGTCACATTATACAATTATAGGGTTTTGGTTCCATTTTCACAACCAAAGCAACATCCTGTAGAATGTCAGGAATTTTAGTTCAGGAAGATGAGTTCAAAAATCACAGCCAGAGGCTTCCTTTAGTGCCTCACCAAACTATAAACACACAAAAGATGTCATAGCATGTTACCACGGCAGTTAAAGTGGTGCTAATAGTTATAGCGGCCCCCTGGTGGCACAATGGGTTAAATCACTGAGCTGCTGAACTTGCTGACCGAAAGGTTGACGATTTGAATCCAAGGAACAGGATGAGCTCCCACTTTTAGCCCCAACTTCTGCCAACCTAACAGTTCGAAAACATGCAAATGTGAGTAGATCAATAGGTACCGCCTCTGCGGGAAGATAATGGCTCTCCGTGCAGTCATGCCAGCCACATGACCTTGGAGGTGTCTGTGGACAACGCCGGCTCTTTGGCTTAGAAATGGATTTGAGCACCACCCCCCAGAGTCAGACACGACTAGACTTAATGTCAGGGGAAACCTTTACCTAAGAGTATAGTGTGAAAGGGTTTCTGGGATCCTTTTTATTTTAGGAAGTCAACAGTAGAGCATTGCCGTAGGAATGACTGCAATGAACATACCTGCTCACTGTCCTGATTTTGGTAGAGCGCATCCTGATCAGTTCTCTATTAATATATTGTCGAAGGCTTTCATGACCAGAATCACTGGGTTGTTGTAGGTTTTTCGGGCAGTATCGCTATGTTCTTGAAGCATTCTCTCCTGACGTTTTGCCTGCATTTATATAAACCCAAATTTCCTAGTTTCCAACAGACCTCACTTCTGAGGATGCCTGCCATAGATGCAGGTGAAACGTCAGGAGAGAATGCTTCTAGAACATGGCCATACAGCCCAAAAAACCTACAACAAAAACCCAGTTCTCTTATTATCCTACTCTTGCCCTTCCCAGAAGGCTCAGGAAAAAGCAAGCTGCAGAAGCCTGTCCTCGCATAATGTATTCTTTCTCATTAATGTTTTTTGTCATTGTGACCACATTTTGAAGTTGTTTGGACACACATGTCCTGGATTTCACCTGTGAAATCTTAGAGCGTATGAAGAATTTTTTTACTACAGCTCTGCTCCAAATAAGTCCCAGTGAGTGAAGAGGAAGTCAACTTGACTGTGTCAATTATGAAGCCAACTCTAGTTGGCTCAGAAATGGGCATATTTCAGCAGAGTGTCAGAAGGCACAAAATACAACAACTTGTGATTCTGAAAGATATTTTTGGTGACTTTTGACATTTTGCATTTAAAGGAGCTGAAGTCAGGATTCCTGTCTGGATAAAGTGAACATTCCCCTGAAATAGAAAGCTGGGGAGCTGCTACTTTTTCCCGTGTGTAAATATGGGATACATACAGCCCTCCTGCCATAGGAAATGATCAGAGTTGGGCCTCAAGAGTATATTCACAACTCTCTGAGTTTAAGGTTTCCAGTCTCCAATGTGATTCATATAATCCTCTCCACAATTCCCTCCAGATGTTGATGAATGTGCCGGGGAAGTGGAGGAACCTGTGTGCACCGGTGCGAACGAGGCTTGTGAAAACAATGACGGCGGCTATCGATGTGTTTGTGCGGAGGGATATGTGCGCAAAGATGGGGTCTGTGTGGAAGATAAGCCTCCAGGTGAGCCACAGCAGCAGCATCTCTGATAGCAAATAGGTTTCTGTAGGACACTGCTTCTTAAACTGCGGGTCGCGGCCCCAAATGGAGTCCCCTTCACTCAGTGTTGGAGTCACGAAAAATTGGGCAACAGTAAAAGGTTTCTGGATGCCAACCATTTACACAAATATGTAAGCAACAATGTGTAGTGTATACAGAAAATGCTTCAGCTATATTTCATACAAAGGAAAATCAGTGTATTTAAGCAAACCTTGCAAAAATACATCTGTATTGAGACTCAATATAAATGGATTTGTGGGAGGCAGTGGTCTAGAGTCATAGAGTTGGAAGAGACCTCGTGGGCCATCCACTCCAACCCCCTGCCAAGAAGCAGGAAAATTGCATTCAAAGCACACCTGACAGATGACCATCCAGCCTCTGATTAAAAGCCTCCAAAGAAGGAGTTTCCACCACACTCTGGGGCAGAGAGTTCCACTGCTGAACAGTTCTCACAGTCAGGAAGTTCTTCCTAATGTTCAGGTAGAATCTCCTTTCCTGTAGTTTGAAGCCATAATTCTGCGCCCTACTCTCCATGGTAGCAAAAAAACAAGCTTCCTCCCCCCTCCCTGTGACTTCCCCTCACATATTTATACATGGCCCTCATCATGTCTCCTCTCAGCCTTCTCTTTTGAAGGCTAAACATGCCCAGCTCTTTCAGCCGCTCCTCATAGGGCTTGTTCTCCAGACCCTTGATCATTTTGATCGCCCTCCTCTGGACACATCCCAGCTTGTCAAGATCTCCCTTCAATTGTGGGATTGGACACAGTATTCTAGATGTGGTCTAACCAAAGCAGAATAGAGGGGTAGCAGTGTCTAGATCAGGCATCCTCAAACTGCAGCCCTCCAGCTATTTGGGCATACAACTCCCAGAAGCCCAAACAAGCTTATTCAATTGTCAGGAATTCTGGGAGTTGAAGGCCCAAACAGCTGGAGGGCCGCAGTTTGGGGTGCCTGATCTAGACACTATACTCCTATTGATGCAGGCCAAAATCCCATTGGCTGTTTTTTGCCGCCGCATGACGTTGTTGACTCATGTTTATCTTGTTGTCCATGAGGACTCCAAGATCTTTTTCACATGTACTGCTTTTAGTTGTCCTAATGGTCCTTGCTTATGTCCTCCTTCCTTCCTTCCTCCACAGATGCTCCAGAGAAAGGCTTTTTTGATGACATCACAGACGATGAGGTGGTTGTGCTGCAGCAGATGTTCTTTGGTGCCATAATCTGTGCGTTGGCCACGCTGGCTGCCAAAGGCGATATGGTCTTCACGGCCATCTTCATTGGCGCCGTGGCCGCTATGGCTGGCTACTGGCTGTCGGAGCGCAGTGACCGTGTGCTGGACGGCTTCATAAAGGGCAGATAGTGGTGGCGAAGTGGATGCCTTCCATTCTGCTTCCTGCCTCAGAGGGCCAGTTTGGGGGTGGGGGGCAAGAACTCTGTGACGCCTCTCCATTCGCTACCCTTTACCCTTGCAAGGCTCTGAAAATGTCGGAGGAAGAGCAGGAAGGACCGTCCTGTATCCCAATCTGGGTTGTGTGAAGCCTTGGCCTCGCATGCTCTGAAGAAAGGAGGAGAAATGGGAGAAGCAAAGCATGCTTGCCTGCTCTGCTGTTGGCCAAGGGGAGGGTTTCTGATACACATTAGAATAAACTATTGCATTATTATAATTGATATAGGCACGACCACTTTACATGGCACTTGTCAAGTATAGTCAACCTTCCGCATTAACTGGGATCACGGCACAAGACCCCCTGTAAAAGTGAGAAAATGCAAATTTAAATAATTGCTTTTTTTTCAACTGAAATGACACCTTCCAAGGTATCTCAAGTGATCCTCCAGCACATCTCTATGATCAAGTTCCACTGGATTATACTGGAGAACTGGTGCAGTGGTGTTCAAACTTCTGCCCCCTTCAGGCATTTGGGAATCCAGCTCCCAGAAGCCCTGGCCAGCTTGTCCAATGCTCCGTAATCCTGGGGGCTGAAGCCCAAAACATCTGGAGGGACCAGAGGTTGGACACCACTCACCAAGAGCTTTCTAGTTTTTCTCTCTAGTTCATCTGTGTAACTTTATGGTTGACTTCCATCTCATTGCACTGGAGGACCTAGAGCAGTGGTTCTCAACCTGTGGGTCCCCAGATGCTTTGGCCTTCAACTCCCAGAAATCCTAACAGCTGGTAACCTGGCTGGGATTTTGGGAAGTTGTAGGTCAAAACAACTGGGGACCCACAGGTTGAGAACCACTGACCTAGAGCTTCTTAGGTCTTCTTTCTATGATTCTCTCAGCCTATCAATGTGAATGATTGATCAGTGTCTGGTAGACATTGACCCTAGAGTTGCACTTGAGGACCTAGAGATTCCCAGAGAGAATACTGTAAACAAATCTGCAAATATCTAACTCACATATGAGGAGGAATAACTAAAAGATCAACCAAAAACCATAGTTCCCTGCTCTGAGGTTTACAGTTATGAAACAAAAAAGGAATGGCAATGTGGGAAGGAATTTAATCTAGTCGGTACTGCCTCCTTTTCTCCCCCTCTGAGGCCAGGGCAGCGGTGGTGGGAGGGCCTTCCATCTGCACCTGGACCTGAAGGAGCTGTTGTCCACTGAGTAATTATTAAAATTTGGCCAATAAAAGCCTGCCTCCTGGAGCTTGTGAGAGGACTGTATTATTCTCTGTAATTTATCATAGCTGTTTGATGAGGTTGAGTACTCTACATTCATTCTCTTCTCCTTTTGAATGTTATTCTGCAAAGAATAGCCCAGCTACTTCTTTTGGTGGAATCATAGAGTTAGAAGAGACCTCATGGGCCATCCAGTCCAACTCCCTGCCAACATTCAGGAAAATTGCATTCAAAGCACCCCTGACAAATGGCCATCCAGCCTCTGTTTAAAAGCCTCCAAAGGAGCCTCCACCACACCCCAGGGCAGAGAGTTCCACTGCTGAACAGCTCTCACAGTCAGGAAGTTTTTCTTAATGTTCAGGTGGAATCTCTTTTCTTGTAGTTTGAAGCCTTTGTTCCGTGTCCTAGTCTTCTAGGCAGTAGAAAACAAGCTTGCTCCCTCCTCCCTATGACTTCCCCTCACATATTTATACATGGCCCTCATCATGCCTCCTCTCAGCCTTCTCATCTTCAGGCTAAACATGCCCAGCTCTTTGAGCCGCTCCTCATAGGASTTGTTCTCCAGACCCTTGATAATTTTGGTTGCTGTCCTCTGGACACATTCCAGCTTGTCAATATCTCCCTTCAATTGTGATGCCCAGAATTGGACACAGTGTGATTCCAGGTGTGGTCTAACCAAGGCAGAATAGAGGGGTAGCATGACTTCCCTGGATCTAGACACTAGACCCCTATGGATGGAGGTGAAAATCCCATTTTTTGCTCCCGCATGGCATTGTTTGCCCATATTTAACTTGTTGTCCACGAGGACTCCAAGATCTTTTTCACACATACTGCTCTCGAGCCAGGCGTCCCCCATTCTATATGTTTGCATTTCATTTTTTTCTTCCTAAGTGGCATAGAGGCAAAACGCACCCATTGCATCCATGTAGATGGCAGGAATTATGTAGGATTGAGAGCTATTAATGGCTCTTGTCCATCGATAGCAATGATTGGAAGAATCATGGGGAGGAAGCAGACTGAATGCACATGGAGTTGTGCCATTGATACTCTCATGAAAGATAACAGTCCAGTTTGCCTGCATAGGAAAGTCCTTGCCCTGCGTATGGTAGAGTTAACTCCGCTCTCCTTGTCAATCACTTCACTGCTGTTGGCCTTTCCTTCACCCCTTTGGCACTTAATCACACTCTTGGTATCAGTTTCCAGTTGCTATGTGTTCCTGTTTCTAACATCATGAAAGGCAGCTTTGAAAAAAGACCTCTCAATATTCTTTGTTGCCTGCAGCTTATGGAACTACTTCTCAAATTCAATATGACTGAAGGTAAATGTTAGCAGCAGAGTGTTGGTGCTTGGCTTGTCATGTTTACCATCTTTAGAACTTGCATTTTCTACATCAATTTTTGATGTTTTTAAAATTGTTTTTAAAAAATTGTTTTGAAAATCTTGAAGCTGGGTGTGAGAACTGTGTATCCATTCCCTAATAACAACAACAATAATACTTCTGAATTCAGACAGACAAGAGTTTTGGAGCACAATACTCCTGACCTCATGATTGTGTTAAAAAATATGTATGTATGTATGTATGTATGTATGTATGTATTTATTTATTTACAGCTTTTATATTCCGCCCTTCTCACCCCGCAGGGGACTCAGGGCGGATTACAGTGTACACATATATGGCAAACATTCAATGCCAATTTTTAATATACAAACATATACAGACATACACAGAGGCTATTTAACTTTTTTTGGCCACCAGGGGAGCTGTCGCTTTCATCGTCCATCTGCGACACTGATGAAGCACTTCCGCATTCCCCACATACAGTCCCGCTGGAATGCTTTGCTGGAGTCTTCTTTATGGTCTCATAAATCAGTTAATTTAGCCTCCCCACACTTTAAGGTGGTACCTAATTTTCCTACTTGACAGATGCAACTGTCTTTCGGGTTGCAAAGGTCAACAACAGGCTACACGCAATTGGTTGGAAACCCACTCCAACCTGGGCTGGCTTCGAACTGATGACCTTTTGGTCAGAGTGATCTTAATGCAGCTGACACTCAGCCAGCTGCGCCACAATTCCGGTGCAGTATGGATTGTTGATGTTGCAATCCCAGGCGACAGCAGGATTGAAGAGAAACAACTGGAAAAGCTGACATGATATGAGGATTTAAAGATCGAGTCCCTAAAGACCTTGGCCTGCACTTAAACACAATCAGCGCTGACAAAATTACCATCTGCCAGCTGCAGAAGGCCACCCTACTGGGATATGTATGCATTATTCGGGGAGACATCACACAGTCCTAGATTCTTGGGAAGTGCCCAACGTGTGATCCAATACAACAGCCAGCAGAGTGACCTTGTTTGCTGTGGATTCATCTTGTTGTATTTCAAATAATAATAATAATAATAATAATAATAATAATAATAATAATAATAATAATAAATTCCGCTCTTCTCCCCAAAAGGACTCAGAGCAGATTACAGCATATAAACAGACAGAGGCAAACATTCAATGCCTTGTTACAATGACATACAATGAAACAGAAATACAAAGGCAAAGGCTTCTCCTTTCATTACTGGCTCTGGAGGCAATGCTCATCTCTGCTTCTGGGAGAGGTGCTCATCTGCATTTCCAAGCCGAGGAGCCTGCGTTGTCTATAGACACCTCCTGATCATGTGGCTGGAATGTCTGCATGGAGCATCATTTTTTGCCTTCCCATTAGACGGGACCAAGGAGAAGAAAAGGCTAAAGGTAAAGGTGTCCCTTGGCATTAAGTCTAGTCATGTCCGACTCTGAGGAGTGGTGCTCATCTCCATTTCTAAGCCAAAGAGGTGGCATTTTCCATAGACACCTCCAGAGTCATCTGACCAGCATGACTGCATGGAGTGTTGTTACCTTTCCCAGGAGTGGTAACTATTGATTTTCAAGTTTTCGAACTGCTAGGTTGGCAGGAGCTAGGGCTAACAGTGGGAGCTCACAGATTCGAACTGCCGACCTTCAGGCCAGCAGTTCAACAGCACAAAGATTTAGCCCATTGCACCACCTGCAGCTCCAAATGAGATGCTTTTGCATAGAGAAAATATATCATAAGGCCCTATTCCATTACATTGCGATAGCGCTATTTTTCCACTTACTGCTATTGCTGCATCCTGTGGAATTCTGGTGTTTGTAACTTAGTAAGGACTAGGAGCTCTCTGACTGAGGATCCTAAGTGCCGATCCCTGAACTTCAAATCCCAGCATTGTATATGTTGCCATGACTAGGCAAGTGGAATAATACCGCTATAGCAATGTCGTGTGATAGAGCCCTGTCCCAGCCTGCCATGTTATTTTGTGTGGCTCTCCAGATGCTGGATTACAACTCCTGTATTCCATATCATTCCACATCATAACTAGAGCTGATGGGAGTTGTGATCCAGTAACATTTGGATGGCAGTAGCTTCTTCTGTTTAGTTAGAAGAGTGGGGTTTGAAGTTAGATACAAGACTTGTAGATATGGTGTCTGACTTTAAAATTATGTAGGAACCTTTCCCTATTTTCCCCATATTATTTCTGCTTCTGGTTCCTAATTTCCTGTTAAAGAAGTAATATTCAGGAAAACATCTATTTCATTAAACGAGGAGTACCTGTATATACATATCCTTCTAAATTTCCATATAAATATGCCTATCTCTCTGTGTACTGGGACATAGCAATGCATTATCTTGATTTCTCCAAAACTGCCATCTCTCTCAGGTTCTATTCACATGACACAACTAGCATGGCTCTCTTCATCTATTAATGGAAAATTTGCTCTCATTATTCATTTCTACCTAATTGTTCAAACCCTTTTAAGCCTGTCAAGAAGATGGTTAAGAAATGGGTCATGCTTTACTGTCCTGAGAGTGCCTTGTATGGAAATGACTGCCTAATAATAGCTTGGTTTTCTAGATAAGCCTGGCCAAGGTGCCGAGGCGTGTGTGCACATCCTATTCTTTCACATGACAACAACTATCTTTTTTCAAGTGGCAGCTGGAAGATAAGCTCTCCTGCCAATGGAAGGAACATCAAGAAAGTGTCAAGAAGGCTAGATTGTTTGTTGTTCATCATCTTGAGCTGCAAGGGTTTGTGCAGTGAGTGCTGTGTCCCTGGGGTTTGGCAGATATTATCGGCTTGCCAAGAAATACGCATTCACTTCTGCCTTTGCTCTCAGGACATACAGCCACTCAGCGCATGATGTGTTGCCCTTCACGCAGTCCTGGAAGTGCATTGCAAGCTTTAAAAAGGAGAATATAAATGTTATATTGACCAGCTTCACTATGTACATAGTCCATAAAGTGCTCTCATGTACAATTTACATGTTGGGTATCCTTATCTGAAATGCTTGGAAGCAGATGTTGTGCCATCACACCCAGACCCTAGAAAAATAAAACTAAGATGTGCTTCTCTCTTTGTCTGGGCGGACCGCAGGGGTCTTTCTTTAGAAGCTTGAGATTCCCAGCAACTGAGGCTGCTACAGGTTTTGAACACCAAAACAGAATATTTATTTCTCAAAGTCCTTGCAGACTTGGCACAGCTTGCCAAAGTTATAAACAAAGCAGTCAATTTGTGAAACCATAGAAATAATCTTTCTTTCCTTTCCTTCAGTTACTGAGGTAACCTTTCCCCAAATGGCAGAAAAAAAAATCCTGGGATCTTTTTACCCTAACCCTGAGCTGCTATGGTTAGAAAAAAAACAGGTTTTTCCCCTATCTATAGCTCAAGGTTAGCTTTGGAGATGAAGTAATATTCAGTAATACTCAATGCAATATCTATAACTCAACAAGCTTCTTTATCTATATAACTCAATCTATCTTTCTATCTATAACTCAATTACTATCTATATCTCAATAAGACCCAATATTACTCAGTCACTATCTATAGTATCTCAATCAGCTTCTTTATATCTCAAACATTCTTACAGAGTTACCTGCCTAACCAACAGCACATCTGATGCTTTCTTCTCTACTGAAGGAGGCAGGGGAGATTCCAAAATGGAGATCTTAACCCAGGA